CTTTCCCTCCTTCTTCCCTTCTCCCTTTCTTTTTTTCCCACCTTCTTCTCTTCTCTTTTTTCCTCCTTCCCGTTTCCCTCCTTCCCTTCTCTCTCTTTCTTTCCCTCCTTCTTTTCTTCTTTCTCTCCCTCTACTCTCTTTCCTTCCCTCTTTCCTCGTTCTGTGGTCCAACTCTAGTGAGAAGGGTTTTAAACTTTAAACCCCTTCTCTCTTCGCTTTCCCCCCCCCCGGCAGCTGGGGGAGGCTTTTGAAGATGCCTCCCCCCTTTTGCTTCCCCTTCCAGTGATGTCAGGGGGTGTGACATATGCTAATAGCCTAGCAGCTCATTAGCATACCATATGCTAATGAGCTCCTGGAGCTCTTTTTCTATTAAAAGACCCCTGAAAATAACAATATAAAATATAGGTATGAGGTTCATTCTCATAAATGGAGATGAATAATTCTCCACAATTATAAATATCTATGGCACTTTACATAGAATCATAGAACGTTCGAGTTGGAAGCAACCTTGCAGGTCATCTAGTCCAACCCCCTGCACTCTGCACGAGCATAGCCGAAAGATAGCCCTACAACATACCCGAAAGATAGTTGTCCAGCCTCCGCTTGGGTTGCCACTTTCCTCTGAAGGACCTGTTATAGCCAGTCTTGGACTCTCTCCTAGAGTCTCAAATGGCCTGCAGATGTCTTCTAGTTTTGCCTTCTCTCTTCTTCAAAGGAATGACCTTATCCTTATCCTCAATAAGGTATCTTTCTAGGCCTTCACCAAACAGGTTGGTACCTTTGAAGGGCACTGCTGCAACTTTGGCCCATGCTGAAGGGTCCCTGTCCCAGGTTCTCAGCCAAGTATTTTGCCTTGCTGTGACACTGCAAGCTATGCCTCTGGTGGACTCCCTGCACTGCATCAAGGGTGGCGTCTGCAGCAAAGGCCATGGCAAGGGCAGTTTTCTTTATCTCATCCTTTAGGTCCTTGGGAACTATCTGCCTTAGCCAGATCCAGATGACCATGCATATGCTGCCCTTGCAAACAGCGACCCAGTGACTAAGGCATTAGCTGAGGCTTTGGAGTCTCTCCTCAGAGCCTGCTCTATGCATTTGTCACTGTTATCTTTTGGTAGACCATCCACCCCCATAGGCAGAACCGTAGTGGATGCCAAGCTATTAATTGGGTCATTGACTACCAGAAGCTTCAGCTTTTTTGATGCTTCTGGAATGAGAGAATAGAACTTTCCAAATGCTGGGTGGGTAGCTTTAGGCTTTGCCGGGTGTTCCAACTCCGTCTTCATGATGTTATAGAAGGCTGCTGGTAGTGGCACCCCTGACAACTTGGTATTAGTCTTGGGCATAGTTTTATCTGAGCCTATAGGAAAACCAGAGTCATCCTCCTCTTGCTCTTTTGGAGTATAAGCTAGCTCCCAACGTCCTAATGACTTTAGGGAGAAGCCTGCTGTAAAGTTCCTGAGGGGAAATGTCTGGATTGTACCACAGGAACCACCTCCTCTGACAATTCACCCTCTTCTTTTGGAGAATCAGAGACTACAGAGTCTGATTCAGATTCTTGCTCACTTAACAAGAGGCTATGTTCCCTGTGGTCTCTGGACTCTTTTTTTTCTCTCCTTTTGTCAGGAACAAGGGTTTTCATCTGACTAGGGCTCTGCCTTTTATGCCCTTGGGAAGTATGAGGGGATCTATCTCTGTCTTGAAGAGAGCCTTCTCCTGTGGTCTCTGGACTCTTTTTTTTCTCCTTTTGTCAGGAACAAGGGTTTCCATCTGGCTAGGGCTCTGCCTTTTATGCCTTTGGGAAGTATGAGGGCATCTATCTCTGTCTTGAAGAGAGCCTTGAGACTCCTGCCACATGGCCCTAAACTCCCTCCTCATCTCTGATTTTAACCATGAGAGCAGGTTAGCTTGAGCCTCCTCCCCTAGAGGTGCTTCCTGTGTTTGAATGGAGGTGGGTTTTGGAGACTCAGCCAAATCAAAATTGCAAGTAGCAGCATCCAGATCCTGACCAGTAGATGTCCCTGCTTTGGCAGCCATTTTGTGATCCTCTCTGAACATGAAAGTACAAGGCTTCACCCCAGATGGCTTCCTTCCCCCTTTCCCTTTCTGTTTCAATATGTGTGTGGAGGGGTGGGGGTTCTCCATTTGATTTATCTCCAGGCTGCCTGGGGTAGATGGTTACTAATGGAGAAAGAAGCTTACAATTGCCATCTGCCAGGACCCTGTTGTTACAACACAACCCTCTCCAGTCTTGCGAACATCAGATTGACCGTCACGAATTTGTAGCAGAGGTTCTAGATATATGGCACGAATATCACAGTAAAATATACAGTGCAGTAGAACATGCTGAGTACTTTTTATCTCCCCCAGACTGCAAGAAAAAAGCCTAGAGTATGGAATTTTTAAAAACCGCGCGGGGGAGTTATCAGAACTTAGGGCTCTGTCTATAGACAAGGAGCTGTGCATCTTCCACAATGACAGGGTAGTTCTACACACTGACCCAGCCTTTACTCCCAAGGTGAATTCGACCTTTTATAGGTCCGCAAACATCGTTCTTCCTTCCTTCTGCCCCAATCCTCAGTGTGAGAAGGAAAAGGAATGGCATTGCCTAGATGTGCGGAGGGCACTCAGCTTCTATTTGGACAGAACAAAACACATATGGACCACTGACTCCCTTTTTGTATCCTTCAAGAAGTCGTCCCTAGGTAGGAAGGTTCATCTTCATCTTTAAGTAGATGGATTAGAGGTTGCATTTTTCTGGCTTACAAAGCTAGGGGTTTGGAGCCGCCCCAAGGGATAACGGCCCATTCACTTGGGGGGCAGCCACATTGGCAGCCTATAGGGCTTTTCCATTGTTAGAGGTGGTGTGCAAGGTACTCTTTCATGAGACACTACAGAATAGACAGGTGAGCCTCGGCTGAGGAAGCATTTGGCCGAAGGGTCCTACAGCACACCTTGTAGACGGGGAAGTGGGCAGACCCACCCTGGAGTGTACTGCTGTTTTATGTCCAAGGAGTCTGGAGGACTGCCCCACTTCTGGATCACCGGAGAATGGAAGATTTATCTCCACTTACCATGCCACTTCCACTTCCATGCCAAGAGTATTGTTTTTGTGTACAGACATGAGTAGACACACTGGCCAAACCTTGAGGAGTTTGGGATACATGGGTTTGGGCCAAAGTAGTTAGGTGGCTAGGAACGGTTGGGGAACATGTTCTGAAGCTTGAGAGTTGGTTAGCTCCCCGCCAAGGAGCAAGGGGTTGTCAATTTGTCTTTTCAGTGAAGGGGATCGGAGGCTTGGAGAACTGGGAAGCCAGGGGACAAGCCCCTCCCCTCTGGGACTAAAGATTCTGGCGGCCCTGCCTTCGGAGAGGAGGAGCTGAATCCCAGGAGTAAGGATTCTGGAGGACTGCCCCACTCTGGACCACCGAGAAGGAAGCTTCACGGTAAGTGGAGATAAATCTTCCATTTACACCTACTGTATCTAATGTGTTTTTTAAAAAACAGACTAAACTATTTTGTGTGTATCAAATTTGTCACCACAGGCTTTCCTTCCATGAAATTTACCTCTGACCTATTTATACTCTGACAGTTCTGCTTCAGTCTTTATTAGTACAGTCACAGACCAGCACAATTCTCAGCAAACACAATGGGTAAGGGAAATAATTAAAATCCTCCCACACATAAATTAGTTTATGATTCAAAGGGAAGTACAAGTTAAATAGAATAACAGATTAAAATTATTACATTTCTGTACTATACATATGTAAAAAC